TGGGCTGTGCCGGGCAGGGCTGGGCTGGGCCGGGCAGGGCTGTGCTGGGCCGGGCAGTGCTGGGCTGTGCCGGGCAGGGCTGGGCTGTGCCGGGCAGGGCTGGGCTGGGCTGGGCAGTGCTGGGCTGGGCTGGGCAGGGCAGGGCTTGGCTGGGCCGGGCACGGCTGGGCTGGGCCGGGCTGTGCTGGGCTGGGCTGGGCTGGGCTGGGCTGGGCTGGGCTGGGCTGGGCTGGGCTGGGCTGGGCTGGGCTGGGCTGGGCTGGGCTGGGCTGGGCTGGGCTGGGCTGGCTGGGCTGGGCTGGGCAGGGCTGGGCTGGGTAGGGCTGGGCTGGGCTGGGCTGGGGCTGGCTGGGCTGGGCTGGGCTGGGCTGGGCTGGGCTGGGCTGGGCTGGGCTGGGCTGGGCAGGGCTGGGCTGGGCTGGGCAGGGCTGGGCTGGGCTGGGCAGTGCTGGGCTGGGCTGGGCAGGGCTGGGCTGGGCTGGGCAGGGCTGGGCTGGGCTGGGCAGGGCTGGGATGTGTGGGCTGGGCTGGGCTGGGCTGGGCTGGGCTGGGCTGGGCTGGGCTGGGCTGGGCTGGGCTGGGCAGGGCTGGGATCTGCTGGGCTGTGCTTGGCTGGGCCGTGCCGTGCAGGGCTGGGCTGGGCTGGGCTGGGCCGTGCTGGGCTGGGCTGGGCTGTTCAGGGCTGGGCTGGGCCGGCTGGGCTGGGCAGGGCTGGGCTGGGCCGGGCAGGGCTGTGCTGGGCTGGGCCGGGCTGGGCTGGGCTGGGCTGGGCTGGGCAGTGCTGGGCTGGGCTGGGCTGGGCTGTGCTGGGCAGGGCTGGACTGGGCTGGGCAGTGCTGGGCTGGGCTGGGCTGGGCTGGGCTGGGCTGGGCTGTGCTGTGCTGGGCTGGGCTGGGCTGGGCTGGGCTGGGCTGGGCTGGGCTGGGCTGGGCTGGGCTGTGCTGGGCTGTGCTGGGCTGGGCAGGGCAGGGCGGGGTGGGCTGGGCCTGGGCTGGGCCAGTGTGCTTGGCTGGGCTGGGCTGGGCTGTGCTGGGCTGGGCTGGGCTGGGCAGTTCTGGCTGGGATGGCTGGGCTGGGCTGGGCTGTGCAGGGCTGGGCTGGGCAGTGCTGGGCTGTGCTGGGCTGGGCTGGGCTGGGCTGGGCAGGCTGGGCTGGGCTGGGCTGGGGCTGGCTGGCTGGGCTGGGCTGGGCTGGGCTGGGCTGGGCTGGGCTGGGCTGGGCTGGGCTGGGCTGGGCTGGGCTGGGCTGGGCTGGGCTGGGCTGGGCTGGGCTGGGCTGGGCTGGGCTGGTCTGGGCTGGGCTGGGCTGGGCTGGGCTGGGCTGGGCTGGGCTGGGCTGGGCTGGCTGTGCTGGGCTGGGCTGGGCTGGGCTGGGCTGGGCTGGGCTGGCTGGGCTGGGCTGGGCAGTGCTGGGCTGTGCTGGGCAGGGCTGGGCTGGGCTGGGCAGGGTTTGGCTTGGCCGGGGGCAGTGCTGGGCTGGGCTGGGCTGGGCTGGGCTGGGCTGGGCTGGGCTGGGCAGGGCTGGGCTGGGCTGGGCTGGGCTGGGCTGGGCTGGGCTGGGCTGGGCTGGGCTGGGCTGTGAGGGGCTGGGCTGGGCTGGGCTGGGCTGGGCTGGGCTGGGCAGGCTGGGCTGGGCTGGGCTGGGCTGGGCTGGCTGGCTGGGCTGGGCTGGGCTGGGCTGGGCTGGGCTGGGCTGGGCTGTGCTGGGCTGGGCTGGGCTGCTGGGCTGGGCTGTGCTGGGCTGGGCTGGGCTGGGCTGGGCTGGGCAGGGCTGGGCAGGGCAGGTCTGGGCAGGGCTGGGCTGGGCTGGGAAGGGCTGGGCTGGGGGCTGGGCTGGGCTGGGCAGTGCTGGGCTGGGCTGGGCTGTGCTGGGCTGGGCTGGGCAGAGCTGGGTTGTGCAGGGCTTGGCTGGGCTGGGCAGGGCTGGGCTGGGCTGGGCAGGCTGGGCTGGGCTGGGCAGTGGCTGGGCTGTGGGCTGGGCTGGCTGGGCTGGGGGGCTGGGCTGGGCTGGGCTGGGCTGGGCTGGGCTGGGCTGGGCTGGGCTGGGCTGGGCTGGGCTGGGCTTGGCTGGGCTGGGCTGGGCTGGGCTGGGCTGGGCAGGGCTGCGCTGGGCAGGGCTGGGCTGGGCTGGGCGGTGAAGGGCTGGGCTGGGCTGGGCTGGGCTGGGCTGGGCTGGGCTGGGCTGGGCTGGGCTGGGCTGGGCTGGGCTGGGCTGCGCTGGGCTGGGCAGGGCTGGGCTGGGCTGGGCAGGGCTGGCAGGGCAGGGCTGGCTGGGCTGGGCTGGCTGGGCTGGGCTGGGCTGGGCTGGCTGGGCTGGGCTGGGCTGGGCTGGGCTGCTGGGCTGGGCTGGGCTGGGCTGGGCTGGGCTGGGCTGGGCTGTGCTGGGCTGGGCTGGGCTGGGCTGGGCTGGGCTGGGCTGGGCTGGGCTGGGCTGGGCTGGGCTGGGCTGGGCTGGGCTGGGCTGGGCTGGGCTGGGCTGGGCTGGGCTGGGCTGGGCTGGGCTGGGCTGTGCTGGGCTGGGCCGGGCTGGGCTGGGCTGGGCAGGGCTGGGCTGGGCTGGGCTGGGCTGGGCTGGGCTGGCTGGGCTGGGCTGGGCTGGGCTGGCAGGCTGGGCTGGGCTGGGCTGGGCTGGGCTGGGCTGGGCTGGGCTGGGCTGGGCTGGGCTGGGCTGGGCTGGGATTGGCTGGGCTGTGCTGGGCTGGGCTTGGCTGTGCCG